TTTTGTTTTTTTTTTTTTTTTTTTTTTTTTTTTTTATTCCTGATTTACAGAAATCCAGTTCCATGTATGCATGTAGTTTTTGTTGGTGAAGTTTGGAACTAAACAGAACCTTCCTTTGAATGAATTCTAATGGTGTTACCAGGTGTTCGAGAAGCTTGGGCCAAGTTTGTTTGACTTTCTCAAGAGAAATAAATACTCCGCATTTCCTCTGGCTCTTGTCCGTGATTTTGGATACCAGCTTTTGGAATCTGTAGCATGTCTGTGAATTGTTCCTTTCAGCTGTTTTAATACAATTATCTTATCTTGCATTTCATCATATCCGTTTCTTTTCTGTCTCACTTCAGCAGCTGTTGTCCTACATAATAACTCTCTGTTCTTAACATCTTTTTTATTTTGGTTCTTGTCGACAGATATGCACGAGTTACAGTTAGTTCACACCGACCTCAAGCCCGAGAACATTCTTTTGGTGTCTTCTGAAAATGTAAAGCTTCCTGACAACAAGGTATCTAGAACTGAATTAGGTTAAGGTTTGGTTTGAACCAAAAATGTTTGATTTATGATAAGCTAGTATTTTGAAATAAAAACAAACTTTTCTTACAGTGGTTGCACGTCTGACAGTTTGGTGTTTGGTTTTAATAAACAGAGGAGTAGTTCACATGAGACGCATTTCAGGTGTTTACCGAAGTCAAGCGCCATTAAACTGATTGATTTTGGAAGTACTGTTTGTGATAACCGGATTCATCACTCCGTTGTCCAAACAAGGCATTACAGATCCCCTGAGGTCATTTTAGGTAGGTGAATCTGTTATGTGCGCAACAATACATACTTGAAGAGGATTCCATAGCTGACTACGGATGTACATAATTTTTTTCCTGGTAACTAACCAGTGGCATATCATGACAGGTCTAGGATGGAGTTACCAGTGTGACTTATGGAGCATAGGTTGTATACTATTTGAACTATGCACGGTAAGTTCTTTCTCATTTTGTTGAGTAGTGAATACGTACATCCTTGTTTTCAGTTGTTTTACTTACTATTATCAACATTTGAAAAATGTACATTAGGGTGAGGCTCTATTTCAGACGCATGATAACCTTGAGCATCTAGCGATGATGGAGAGGGCATTGGGACCTCTGCCTGAACACATGACCCGAAAAGCCTGGTTACTTTTCTACGTCCACAAACTTTTTTGGTACACGAAACTTTAGAGATGCTCATGGCTTGTTGCATGTTTTGGTCATTATACTTTTGCAGCCGGGGTGCTGAGAAATATTTTAGGAGAGGAGGTAGGCTGAATTGGCCTGAAGGAGCCAACTCTAGAGAGAGTATTAGAGCTGTAAAAAGACTTGATCGTCTGAAGGTTGTGCGCTATAATTATGTTTTAATGTCTATTGATGTATCTTTCGTTCGAGATGTGCTAATCTGAAGTTGTAAATACTCACGAAACTTGCAGGAGATGGTACCGAGGCATGTAGACAACACAAGATCTGGATTTGCAGATCTGTTGTATGGTTTACTGCAGTATAATCCGTCCGAGCGTCTCACAGCAAACGAAGCTCTAGACCATGCTTTCTTTAAGAGCGCAGGTTGAGATTTTAGAAGCCAAAACAGAGGAGGGAAAGTGTGTCTAAATAGCAATGTGCACCATAAACTGTAGAATTTTACTTGGTTTCAAGTTTTTTTTTTTTCTAGATTCGAAAGCTCCTTGTCTCATTAGCACTATACAAGAGTATTCAAGTTTCAAGTTTGGCTACAAAATAATCTCTGTTGTAATTACATTTGTGTTGTTGATAGTTAAAAGAAACTTTGACCACATTTTGAAACTTCTCAACTTTTTACGTAAATTGCCAGAGATAGTTTCTCTATTACGTGTGAAAACAACACAAAACAGACTAGAAATATGAAAATATCGTCAAAATTTTCCAAATAGAACTGGTGTTTCTAAACTAAACTGATCATCGCTAAGGAAGATGAAATGTACGTAACAAGATTCAAGAGATGCATAGCATATCAACTCTGAGAGAAACTAGTTGTCTACGTAACATACGTCCAGTGTCACATATCCTGATCATACGAAGTCAGCCACTCTGTCTCCCACCATATATCGATCATCGTATTCAAGACTGTGAATGTAATGGATCAGTTTGAGGGTGAGCTTGGCTGCGAACCCTAGGATGATGATGGCTAATAACACCGGCCATATGAGCCTCTGCACGGCTAAGTTGACTGCACCAGAAAACTGAAGCAATGGGAATAGAGAGTGGGCCACCAAGAAAGGTAGTGCTAGAGTGGTTAGAAGAGTATTTATGATCGGACAAATGACTTTTCCAAGCAGCCACTTCACTGGAAGCCTGTTGATTCCGACACTCCTGATTCTCTTGAGCTTCTCCCGCCAGGCCGCAGTTGCGAAACAGTTGACACGCGTGAACATAGTCTGTAATATAAGAACGAGAATCGATATATTACTTGCTAGGCAAGAAAAGGTAAAAACCAAACAAAACTTAAGATGTATATCTTACTAGATAGGTCCAGATGTGAAGAAGAACTAGTCCGATCAACCAATCTCGGAGCAATGAATAAACTGGGGGTTGGCTTAGCGGCACTTGTAATGGGATGATGATCATAAGATCGATAAGGAGACCAAGCAATGTTGGTATGAAGGAGACCTGTTCATCAAACTTTGCAAGTTACACAAAAGCGTTTTTCAATAATGTTGAAAGGGAGATGAAGTTTTGAGTCTGCGTACCCAGATGGAGAACAGTAAGGCGTTCCGCATCCACAGCAGAGCAAGGTTGAGAAGCAAATCGGTTCTTCTAATCCTGATATGATTTAATATGAAGGAAGTCCCGATGTAGATTTTTCGCAGGATATAGCATCCAATCCAGAATCCATAAACATCTAAAATGATAAAGATTTTTTTTAAAAATGAGTCATTTTTAGCGTATAACATGAAAACTGTCGTTTGTAATGAGCTAAATCAAGAAAAGTTATGAAGCAAGATGATGAAAGTTACACACCGTCCTTTATGATTCCGAACTTTATCATGATGAATGAGATACAGTGGAAGAAAGTCCTTCCCACCAGAATTGGCAAAGCCATGGAGATTGTACTAATGAGACACAGGCTCAAAGCAGCTAGAACCAACATCAATCCGATCCTCAGTAGTATAAACCTGCAACTTCAGCTTATCAGAACATGAACAAATTAGGTCTTTATCAAAAAGATCTCTCTATCTCTTACCTATCTTCGTCAGTATCGTCTTCACAAGTGGTATCGTTCTGAGATCCATAGAATCTTACTAGAGAGCCTTCACCTATGGAATACACATGAGACCAACTACCACGAGCCTCCAGCTCTGGTTGAAACAACGGTCTCACATTCTGGTTTGCATGGGTTTCAAGAAAGAAGTCGCTCAACTGGAGCCAGGAACTGACAGTAAGTATCCACTTGTGAACTATGGGTTCAATAGCTGGTTGAATAATCTTGACTAACCACTCCATTGGTCCTGATCTCGCAAACGCTATATAAGCAACCATTGGGAGAAGCTTAAAGCTTTCATCATAGAACCTGCATCATATATATATTCATGCGTTATATTAGATTATAGAAAATATCGAAGTAGCACGAAACTAGCGATTATACAAGGTAAGAAAAGGCAAAGAGGATCTTACCAGAGTTGGATCGGGAAAAAGGAGGGGCTGATGAAAGTGATAGTCAATATTGGTAAGTGAACCAAAATCACCACCAATGATCCATTGAAAGCCAGTGCAAAGAGATATTGGCCAAGGTGCAGTTTAGTGGTCTTGTAGGTTGGATCAGTAACATCTAGTAGAAACCAAAATGGTCGTTTCTGCAAGATCTGTCAAAAGAAACAATACCGTTTGAAAATCTCATAAAAAATAAGGTCCTCTGAAAGTAAAACTAACTAAACTGGGTTACCTTTTGGATAAGCTCCATTGAAATGAAAACCCCTTGCAAGCAAAGTAGTCCAAACGACCAATGTAGCATCACCACGAGGGGAAATTCCGAAAAGAACTCAAGCCTCTCTGAAACCGTGGTTCCAAGTACAGGGAGTGTGCAAAAATCGAACCAGCAGCCAAGGACCATAGGGAAAGCCCCAAACTTCAAACATAAGACCAAGCCATCGTTAACCATATAAAGATTTTTCCACATTTTTGCTGAACGAATCCATATGAAGTAAGGGAGTGTCATTGCTATCCTGATAAACCCCGTTGATAATCTCTTGGCTATGGCTTGAACTGTGTCTCGACTCAGAGTAGCGAAGCTTCTTCCAAGATAAGCCAAGGATAGTGAAAGCATAGTCAAATACCCAAGAAAGACCGGTTCTTGTGCAAGTGGGTCTCCTGAAAGAAGCTGCGTAGCTACTCCCGTACGTTGGATAAGAAGTAGCAGTCCGACGACAAGTCTCCCCATCACAAGTGGAAGAAGGACGAAGAAGAACGAGACCCAAAAACTGATGGCAAATACAACAAGAATTCCTCCATAAATCTCACGGAGAAGCCTTAAGATATCTTTAAGAAGAGGCCTTAGAACCACCATCATGATCCAAAGATACGCAATCATAGCATTGTAGAAGGAGCCAGCCAAGAGAAAAGCGAACATCTCAGAAACTTGGAAAACTCTCTGGTTCTCAATCGCCATCCTTCGACCCCAAGGATGCAAGGAAAAGCAAAACGCGTTGAAGAGACTCACAAAAACGTAAGCAGCGACACGCAGTGACCTTCGTGATAGTCCTCTGAGAAACTCATGCCACGGAAGCCTCTCTGGTGCGTTCTCAGAGTAAACAGGGACGAACGAGTAGCTACGCCTACATATCTGCGTTGATAGAATCATAGAAGACGTTAACGTAGATTGTATTGTGTGTATTGTTTGTAGTCGCGATGACGAGATTAAAACCTAAAACCCTATTTCGTTAGCAAGGAAAGATAAAAAAAACTCCAAAACAGAATATGAGAGAGAGAGAGAGAGAGAGGAAGATCGATTAACCTCGCACTGTTTGTTTCCACGGCGGTTGAGCCAGAGACGGAGACATTCCTGGTGAACGTACTTTATGGATCCTCTACACGCGCAAGGATACCTCAACGGATCGTCTGGTCCTTCCGGTGATCGGCAAATCCGGCACAAATCTCCTCCGTCGTCGTCTTTGTCACTTTCTTCTGTCGGAAGAGCTTGGCCGTAGCCACCATCTTCAATATCCGCCGGAAAAATGTCCATGTTCTCGCCTCTCTCTCTCTCTGTCACTCGCTTCAGTCTCTCTCGTCACTCACTTGTTCATGCTATAATGCTTTAAAGAAGCAAATATATTTAAAATTTAAATAAATTAAAAAAGAGACACAGAGGCCGTTTTAAGTAGCGATTCGTATTGTTGTTTTGTTTGTTTGTGATAGAAAGTCATTTTCTGCTCTGCTTTACCACAGTAAAACTGTAAAATTCAACCTTTAGTCACTGTAATTAAAACTGTCATTTTCAAGTTTCCAACGACCTTTGATTTGGACGTTCGTTGACTGGGGACCCACTAAATTGGACTACGTGTTAAAATACCAATACCGTCTACAGATTAACCAAATCACTGATTCCATAATACTAACATTTTGAAACTGCATTTATGTACACCATTTGTTTTGGTCGTTTAGGCTTTTTTTGTTTTTTTATTTATTTCGTCGTTAAAGTGAAAACCAAACAAAATGGACTACCAAAACGAAAATATTGTCAAAAATTTCAAATAATTGTCATGTTTGGGTTGTAACCCGCAACTGGTGTTTCTAAACTGATAAGGAAGATGAAATGAAGGTAACAAGATTCAAGAGATGCATAGCATCATAGCAAGTCTAGAAAAACTAGTTGTCTATGCAACATACGTCTATTGTCACATAGTCCTGAGTTGATTGATTCCTTACTCCTGATTATCAATGAAGTTAGCCACTCTGTCTCCCACCATATACCGATCATCGTATTCCACACGGTGAATGTAATGAAACAGATCGAGGGTAAGCTTGGCTACGAACGCTATGATGATGAAGGCTAATAACACCGGCCATATGAGCCTCTGCACGGCTAGGTCGACTGTTCCAGAAAACTGAAGCAATGGGAATAGAGAGTTGGCCACCCAGAAAGGGAATGCTAAAGTGGTTAGAAGAGTGACTATGATCGGAAAAATGACATTTCCAAGCAGCCACGTCCATAGAAGCGAGTTGATTCCGACACTTCTGATTTTCTCGAGATTCTCCCGCCACGCCATAGTTGCGAACCAGTTAACACGCGTGAACATTGTCTATAATATTTAAAAAAAAGAGAGAGACAATCCATATATTACTTATTGCGCAAGAAAGCGAGAAAACCAAAAACCTTAAGACGTATTCCTTACTAGATAGGTCCAGATGTGAAGGACAACTAAGCCGATCAACCAATCTCGGAGAAATGAATAAACCGGGGGTTCGCTTAGCGGAACTTGTGATGGGATGATGATCATAAGATCGATAAGGAGACCAAGCAACATTGGTATGAAGGAGACCTGTTCATCAAATTTTGCAAGTTATACAAAAGCGTTTTTCAATAATGCTGAAAGGAAAGATTTTGAGTCTGCTTACCCAGATGGAGAACAGTAAGGCATTCCGTATCCACAACAGAACAAAGTTGAGAAGCAAATCGGTTCTTCTAATCATGATATGGTTAATTATGAAGCAAGTCCCGATATAGATTACTCGCAGGATATAGCATCCAATCCAGAACCCATAAAAATCTAAAATGAGACAGACACTTCGTCATTAACTAGATCATAACATGAAAACTGTCATTTGCAATGAAGCCGTATGTAGAAAAGTTATGAAGCAAGACGATGAAAGTTACAAACCGTCGTGTTTGAGTCCGAACTTTATCATGATGAAAGAGATAGAGTGGAAGAAAGTCCTTCCCACCAGAATTGGCAACGCCATGGAGACTGTACTAATGAGAAACAGGCTCACAGTAGCTAGAACCAGCATCAATCCGATCCTCAGTGTTATAAACCTGCAACTTCAGCTTATTAGAACATGAACAAGGTAACTCTCTATTAAAAACCTCTCTTTCTGTTACCTATCGTGGTCAGTATCCTCTTCAGAAGTGGTATCATACTGAGAACCATAGAATCTGACTAGAGAGCCTTCAGCTATGGGATGCACTAGAGACCAAATATCACCATTCTCCAGCCCTTGTTGCAACAACGGTCTCACATTCTGGTTTGCGTGGTTTTCTAGAAAGAAGTCGCTCAACTGGAGCCAGGAACTGATAGTGATAATCCACTTGTGAACTATGGGTTCTATAGCTGGTTGAATAAGCTTGATAAACCACTCGAGAACATTTATTTTCGCTAACCATGTATAAGCAGCCATTGAGAGAAACATAATCCTTTCTTCATAGATCCTGCATCATATTCATGCGTTTTTATTAGATTAACGAAAAAACTATCGAAGTAGCATGGCATTAGAGATGATACAAGGTGAGCAGAAGCAAAGAGGTTCTTACCAAAGTTGGATCGGGAAAAAAGAGGGGCTGATCAAAGAGATAGTCACTACTGGCAAATGAACCAAAATCACCATTAATGATGCATGGAAAGCCAACGCAAAGACAAATTGGCCAAGGTACAGTTTAGTCATCTTGTAGCTGGGATCAGTAACATCTAGTAGAAACCAAAAGGACCGTTTCTGCAAGATCTGTGAAAAGAAAAAATACCTTTTAAAAATCTCATCCATGAAAGTAAAACTAAACTAAACTGGATTACCTTCTGGATAAGCTCCATGGAAAAGAAAACTAATAGCAAGCAAACTTGCCCGAACATCCAATGTAGGATCACCAGGAAGGGAAATTCTGAAATGAACTCAAGCCTCCGGGAAACTGTAGTTCCAAATATAGGGAGGATGCAAAAATCCAACCAGCAGCCAAGTACTAACGGTAAAACACCAAATTTCAAACACAAGATGAAAGCATCCTTAACTACATACAGATTTTTCCACATCTTTACTGAAAAAATCCATAAGAGGTACAGGAATGCCACTGCTACCATGAGAAATCCCAGTAATAAATTCTTTGCTATGGAACGAGTCGAAGTAGCAAAACTTCCAAGATAAGCCAAGGAAAGTGACAGCAGAGTCAAATATCCAACAAAGACTGGTTCTTGGGCAAGTGGGTCTCCTGAAAAAAGCTGCGTAGCTACCCCCGTACGTTGGAAAAAAAGTAGGACTGCGATTTCAAGTCTCCCCATCATAAATGGAAGAAGAACGAAGAAGCACGAGAAATAAAAACTGATGGCAAGAACCTGTATAGATTAGAACAAAACTTGTTTAACATAATAAAACATTTCCAAATCAAGATAACTAAGAAGAAACGTGTGATTAACATACAAGAATCAGGGACTTACAGCAAATGCATTGTCATCAAGAAGGGAAAGAAACCTTCTGACTGCTCCAAATTCATGAAGCTGTGGGTTTCGAGGACGAATCAATGCTTCACGAGGTTCAACCACAATGACGTGGAAGAATCCAAGGCGTGTGAGATAATCATGCCACCAATCACAGAGAATCTCCATATATTTCCAAAGCAAACACGCAAGTCCTCCTCCTCCTCCTCCACCTCCACGTCCACGTCCTTGTTCGTTCTCTCCATGGATCTCACGGTGAATCCGTAAGAGCTCTTCAGCAGAAAACTTTAGAACCGCCGCCATGGTCATATGATACGCAATCATAGCATTGTACAAGAACCCCGCCAAGAGAAAAGCGAACATCTCAGAAACTCGGAAAAGTCTCTGGTTCTCAATCGCAGCTCTTCGACCCCAAGGATGCAAGGAAAAGCAAAACGCGTTGAAGAGAATCACGAACACGTAAGCAGCGACGCGTAAAGCTCTCACTGACAGTCCTCTCAGAAACTCACGCCACGGAAGCCTCTCTGGTGCGTTCTCAGAGTAAACGGGGACGAACGAGTAGCTACGCCTACATATCTGCGTTTGATAGAATCATATAAGACGTTAACGTAGATTGTATTGTGTGTATTTTGGTCGCGATGATGAGATTAAAAGCTAAAACCATTTTTCGTGGCAAGGAAAGATAAAAAAACTCCAAAACAGAGTATGAGAGAGAAAGATGAAGAATAACCTCGCACTGCTTGTTTCCACGGCGGTTGAGCCAGAGACGGAGACATTCCTGGTGAACGTACTTTATGGAGCCTCGGCACGCACACGGATACCTCAACGGATCGTCTGGTCCTTCCGGTGATCGGCAAATCCGGCACAAATCTCCTCCGTCGTCGTCTTTGTCACTTTCTTCTGCCGGGAGAGCTCGATCGTAGCCACCATCTTCGTTCTCCGCCGGAAAAACGTCCATATTCTCGCCTCTCTCTCTCTCCTCACTCTCTTTACTCGCTTCAGTCTCTCGTCACTTCTTCATGCTAATAAAGCTTAAAGAAGCAAATATATTTAAAATTAAAATAAAGTAAAAAAGAAACACAGAGGCCGTTTTAAGTAGAGCGATTCGTATTGTTGTTTGTTTGTTTGTGATAGAAAGTCACTTTCTACTCTGCTTTACCACAGTAAAACTGTAAAATTCAACCTTTTAGTCACAGTAATTAAAACAGACTTTTCTAATTTCCCACGAGCTTTGATTTGGCGGTTCGTTGACTGGGACCCACTAAATTGGACTACGTGTTGTACGTTGAAATACTAATCATTATCTCAAGATCATCCATAATAATATCAGAAACTAATTGAAAACTATATTCTATGTTGATATAAACACCATTGGTTTTGGTCGTTTGCATACTCAGAGATCTTATAACGTAAAGTGCAAGAAATAGTTTGTATCTAACGTGAGACCCAAACAAAACGGACTACCAAAACGAAAATATCGTCAAAATTTTCAAATAGAAGTCATGTTTGTGTTGTAACCCGCAAAATCTAACTGGTGTTTCTAAACTAAATTGATCATAAGGAAGATGAAATGTACGTAACAAGATTCAAAAGATGCATAGCATAGCAAAATCTAGAAAAACTAGTTATCTATGCAACATACGCCTATTGTCATATAGTCCTGAGTTGATTCGTTACTCCTGATCATCAGTGAAGTCAGTCACTATGTCGCCCACCATATACCGATCATCGTATTCTACACGCTGAATGTAAAGGAACAGTTGGAGGGTAAGCTTGGCAACGAACACTAGGATGATGATGGCTAATAACACCGGCCATATGA